CGTTTGTTTAAGGGGCAGTGGTAGTCTACAGCCACCTTTATAAAGAACTGTAAACTTCTATGTATGTAAGTACCTGAGTTGGCCAACTTTGATTCTGCATTTCGCACTTCAATGGGGCTCACTGGGTTTCGCGCTGTTAGTTCAAGTGGGTCAACAGAATAACTTGCGAAGGTGGTAGACAAGATGACGCCTCGCCGCCGAACACGCCTGCGGGGATAGTCAGCGACTGTGTTTTTCTAATACTGTATTTTTTTCTTCCATAGACAAGGATATCTCGTTGCGTGCGTCATCTGGCTCGAATCTTCGATCACTCATCCAATATTTCTCGAGGGTTGCCTACGAAGAAAAGGACCAACTCAGTTTTGTCAATGCGGAGCTCATTCATGTATACGTGGTTGGAATGCGATCTCAAAATGAGGTATGTTCGGACAGAATTTGAGTACGTGTAATACGAAATCGCAAAATTTTCAGATTGTTCGAGAAGAATGTGTTAAATGTCTCGCGTTGCTTGTGGATTGCTTTCCCAAATCATGCACAATTGAAGCAGTTATCACCTTTGCGAAATACCGATGAGGATGTCGATTTCTTCTCCAATATCATTCATATTCAGGTTAGCGCTTTCACTCAACGACGGGTCAATAATATAGCTTCTTCTGAAGAAAAGTGAGGTGAAGTGAAGTTCTTCGCCTGTCGAGTCCATAGAGACAGAGTCATGAAGCTTTTTCTTAACAAAGAAAGATCGTGTTTACAATAAGACCGACGAGACTTCCTAGGAGGGTTTTTGCTCTTACTTACACAACGGCGAGATGACTGATGGGACCTGCATAAAGCTATGATAGTGAAAGGTTCATTCTTTTACACATGTCCTTGCAACCCTTTTGAAAAAGGCCCATGTGTCGGCATGGACGAAAAATAAAAGATTATTGATGAAGTGATCGCTGGTCGTGACACAAGGCATAGCAGGGTCAAACATGCATCACGGGAATGCCGAAGAAGAAGGGGGTCTTTCATGAGACGGAAAGGTGAAGCAGGCTACACGAGCAGGCGTCAACAGTGAACTGATCACATATGTATGTGTGATAGCGGCATCGGAAGGTTAGAAAGAATCTAAAGCGATCAAGGCACGTCCTGCCGTTGGGGATAGCTTTGCAAAATGCAGCCCCCTTCAAAATTCCTCCACTAATACGCCCCTACCGCCCTTCCTCCCCCACCCCTCTCCTAATTTCTATCTTTCTAGATTTTTCCAACTTCTCACCTTTTTTGTCCAGAAATTTTGCAATTTTGAAACCCGAAAAACTTAAAAAGTCAGTAGCTGAACCTTTTCGTCAGAGGCAGCTACCATACACCCCCCCCCTCCCAACTCTTAGCGAATGGATACGACCTCCCTTCCCTCCCCGGGGATCCCCAACGTATGCCGTCCCCTGACAGCGATGGTTTTTCTGATGTGGAGTGGACTCAGGGGAATGAGCTGCTTAATACATGAACAATTAGAACGTGTGAGATCGCAATGGTCCCAGATCCCTTTGTAGAAAGAGCGCGTGACCCAGAACAGAAAATGTCCAGCGGCCTTGGCCCAAGCAGTCCAAAGACCAGCTCCCAGGAGGCACTGCCATCGCTTTCATGTCTCGTGGTGGAGCGCCTTATCTCCGCCAAGGTGGTTGCTGGGAAGTTCATGAGCATCAGTGGTGTGTAAATGAACCACAAATGTAGGTTGCATATTTGTCTTCATGAAATTAATGAGTTAATCAGCCGGCTCAGAACTGGTTTCGAAAGCCTGAGTGTCTACAACTGCTACCTTGAATCTAAATGGGAACCAGTTCCTCAAGTACGACTCTCATTAAACTTCGGCAGTGTAACGGTGGTAGATTCACTCAGTTATAAATCCAGTTATAAATCCACCTGACAATTGACAATGAATTCGAGCGGCTGGCGTTTCTTCGAAACGCACCAGTCACGTAAAGAGTTACAAACTGCTGAATCTGTTGCTGGAAATCAGTTCATGGCGTTGCCATATCGTGGTTAAGTCAAAGCCAAGAGCTCCCATTCCTGCATATCGTAATAGGACGCCATTCGAAAGATTTCCAGCAGGAACGGTGGACGAGTGCTGGAGGGACTCACCTTTTGCAGCTGAAGAAATTTTCCGCGGAAGGAGAACTTTCGAAAAAATGTCATGCTTCTTAAGAAGAAGAATGAGAGCGCAGGTCTGAACCGCGCTCACCCCTTTATCATGTTTAAGTGGAGTTTGAAGGCAGTTGGCGCGAAAATCTCCAAGACGTGTAGGACTAATACGCCCAGCAGGACTAAACTGGGCGCCCCTGAGCAAGCGCTGCGTAGCGCCTTTTTCAAGGATGGCACCCCTAAAACGCCT